ATATTATTGATACTTCACGACTATACTTTTGGTGCTGTTATGAATCATAATGTAAATATCTGGATGTGTGGGATATCTGATATGCGACCCCTGTGAAAGGGTCAATCAACCTCCAAAGGGGTTGTGACCCACAGGTTGAGAACCACTGACCATAAGCACTTCTGTGTTCAGACTTTTCCTGTTAGATTGTTAAGGTTTTGCTTGAAAAACTGGAATCTGCTACTGCTGGAAGAAAGGTGCAGGTCTCATCTGTTCTGATCCCCTGTTGGTAGGCAAGGAAAGACAGCAGTCGGCAGCAGGGTCCTCATCCCCCAAAGACAGCTTGCTGGAGACAGAAAAGACACTGGAGCTCAGTGTCCAGGAGGAAACAAAAAGGTTAGTCCCTTTCAGTAAGGAATTGATGTCCCCTGTGGCAAATGCAGTTATTCACCAGCTGTCCCTGGTCACAGTCAGTACCGGAACACCCAGCCACTCCATCTCTACCGAGTGCTGTTTCAATCAACCCCCTGGGACAGGACTGCACTGCTTCAAATACTCATTATCCCAGCTATGGAAATCCCGACAGGTATTTACATCAAAAGACTCTCCATCTCTTTAAATCAGAGCTGCTTTTGTTAGCCCAACAGCATTCCAAACGTTCTGGAGTCTGGGTTATTGGATTTCAATATGTGCACACTAACAGGCTATAACGTTGTCCAGGCAGTGGGGACTTTCAGAGAAGTGAGCCACCGCAGAACTCAAAAAGCAGCTCTCGATACAAGGAATCCTCTCTGGCTCTCTCCGTGCCCATGGGCCCAATCTTGGTATATAGACAGGTTGGGTGAGGGAGCTGCTAGCTCTCAGGGAACACAGGCAAGGTTTCAAGCAGTGCTCTGGGTGGACTATGTACCCTTCTCATCTGATCCTCAAGCCAGCCTTGAGAGGGATGGTATATTAGTCGGAAGAGAGAGTGTCTATTGCAGCAACACACACCCTGACACCCCAAGGGCTTAACATAATGAAGTTTATTGGGCAGGCTGCATTGCAATACGGACGCAGAATGCCTTGCTTTCTCCTCTAGACTATTTCTAGGCCTCTCTTAGTGTAGCTAAAATCAAAGTGCTTTTTGGATACCCACAGAATGGATCGTTCCCCTTCTTCATATTGGTTCTGCGTGCACACTTATGATTTTCTCATTAATCAAAGTTTTACCTCCATGTCTTCGGGAAGGTAACACAATGGCAGTATGATGCTTTGATGAATACAGCCCTTGCCTGCTGACTGAGATGACAAAGCATTCTATATGGCAAATGCAATTAAAGAGCGTGTCGGTGGGGGTCCCTTCTTAATGCTAGGAGAGATTAGAAGTCTCCTTTTATCCATCCACAAAGATAGCTGTTTTAAGAAAAAAAAATGACAATACTAATTTCATTCACAACATATGAAAAGAGTAAGACACAAATGTTCTTGAAGCACAAGTTATGAGATTTAGTTGGTTTGGTAAAAACTTTTATGATTTGCTATAAACAATCAGGTTTAATGAAGCAATACATCTGTTCATAAAAAATGTAAGTGATTATTAGAATTGTAGACAAACATCCCTATTCACAAAAGTCTAATGGTATGAAAACAGTAATTATAATGCCAAAAATACTGCTAAGTGTTAAAATTGACACTAGAAAAATGAAACACTTTGCTTAATTTTTGATAGCATTTCATGTCGAGACATGGCAAGCTTAGTGGTCCAATTGACACAAAAGCTTGTATTTTGTTTTTCTGTTTTTTTTTTGTTGTTGTTGTTTGAACACATCTTGTAGTTTCACACTCTACTTTGTGGTAATAGCATGCAGATTTTGGCCTGGCTCCATCGGATGGGTTTCAGCGCATTGAAGGCCCCCTTGTATTTCCTTCCTTCTCAAGCATTTAGCTAAAGGCAAGCATTTGGTTTGGGTGACATTGGTATTTTCATTTTAAACAGTGGTCTGATATTATATTCAGAAACACCAATACTTAAATCTGTTACCTCTCTTCCTAGGATATTCATCACATTTAGGGGAAAAAATTCAGATCTTGGGACCCACAGAGAGCTAGTGAACCCTGGTTCACAGGACTTCCACCTGGCACCAACATGAGGTAAAATGTACAGAGAGAATCAATCATTTTGCATTTTGTCTGGCATTTTTTGGACAATCAAAAGATTGCCTGACAATGGTGTGTATGTTCTATTTTAATACCCTCCCTGTAATATATGCAGGCTGCTCCAAACAAAAGGAACCCCACAAATTTCCGCAGGTCGACAGTGTGAACGGGCCATCTCCTCAGAGCGCTGAAATCAGCAGCACTTTGAACAAAGCAACCTGTTCTTTTAAGAAAAATCGCTCTATAGAAATGCTGTAATTTCCCTGTTACAAAGGAGCCTTTTCCCAAGCACGTAAAGTGCCAGTTTGTTCAGTGTGACCTCTGCTTTCATTCTATCAAGGTTGTATCTGATTACAATGTAAGACAGATGAAGGGGACGCCGTGCTAGGCAAAGAAGAAAAAAAAAGTTTTAGTCTTGGGTCACTTGCGAAAGTGGTTCATCACTTTTATTGGCAATGTTTTCAATATCATTCTGAGGAGGGTCTCCTGTGTCATTCCAAAAAGATCTCTCCGTAATGCATTTCCAGGCCCTTTGATGTGCTTGTTGAAGGCTGAGCCACGCAGGCGAGCCCTGGGCTACAGGGCTGGAGATCTCATGGGGAGATCCAGCCACAGAGCAAGCTGGAGTCTCAGCATACCACCTTGCCAGCCTCACCTCCTCCAGTCTGCGTGGCCTTTGACTCCTATGCCTGAGCTTATGTCCTAAGCCAGCATCTATGTCCTACAGTGTTTGGTATGATTTCTGCAGTGGTACCCAACACCATGAAGGATAATATGGATTCTTTAATTCAGATTCTATGTGTGTATCACTGGGCGATGGAACATCATGGTGGTACATTGCCTAATAGAGCTGGGATTTCCAAACTTGCTTCAACTACCTAATTATTCTTGGAGATTATCTACATTATTGGTGCCATGCAAGGTCACTTGTAAGTGACTTTGGGTGAATTAGCGTGCTCTCTGATTCTCAGTTTCATTCCCTCTTATACTGAGTTGTCAAGAATCAAATGTGCCGATAGACAGCATTCTTTGGCCAGTGTCCAGGACATGATGACTGTCCACGAAATCTCAGGTAAGTTTACTACATGTAGTAATAGTATATTAAGGAAGGAAGTAAAGCCCCTGGAGTTTCTGTCTTGCTGAGATCTACCACAGGGCACGTACCATCGAAGTGCCACCGACTATAGTTTTGCTGATGACCAGGTTCGAGTTCAAAGACTTTGGATGAACCCATTTCTGTCATGGGGCTTCTCAAGTGTTGAAATGATTCCTTCTTCCAGATACCTGCTGTGGAGGATGGACCAGCAATGCTTTACACACGCAAGGGTGAGACACCAAGCACAAAAGCACTTGCTTGTTGCGCGCTGCTCGCCAGATGGCTTGTTGCTATTGCGCTGGGGGCTGGACTTGCCCCTCCTCAATGGGAAGCCACGCTCTGGTCAGCTTCGCCTTAAGAGCACATTGCAGCCTCCCACGTGTCCTCCTCCAAACCCTCTGTCCCTGCTGGAGCAGCAACACCCTCCCTCCTCGTCCCCGTGGTCACCGCCAACCATTTCCCACCAGCCAGTCTGAGCCTTTTTATAAAATTATGAACCAAATCATGTGGCTCGCCTGCTTGAGCCTTCCAGTGGCTGCCGCTATCCTCAGAAAAACAAAAACAAACAACAACAACAAAAAAAACCTATGGCTTCAACTCTTTATCTATTGCCTGTCTCATTTCGATGCCATGGTCACCACCGTTTTATTTTTGATTTTGTTATTTTGTTTTTTTTTTTCATGCATTAAAGCCTCTCCCTCTGTAGCAGAATGCTCCTGTACCCTCCTCCTTCTTATTCATGCGTTGGCCCACTTGTCTTTCCTCTGAGAGGCTCTTTGACCATCTACTTGTCCCTCCACACCAATTCACCGTGACTATGACCGCGTCACACCTGGGCACGCTCCTTTTACTTTTTAATGCGTTTCTTGGAGGAATATTAAACCTCTCCGAGACCACGTGCTCCGCCTGTGTCACCCGCTCTCGTGTCATCCGTGCCTAGTACAGGCCCTGGCATATGGCAGGTGCTCAATCAATGTTGGATTAATGAGTATTGATTGCTCATTTCATGCCGGGCACTTGGTTAAGGTGTCTGGGATTCAGAGATGAATGGCTGCTTTGTTCTCAAAGCAGATAAATATTGCAAGAGAGATAAGCTATGGATATTAAGTGAGAACAAAAGGAAGACAAGGCCTCTAAATGAAGTGGGGGTGGGGGTGGGAGCCCAGAGACTTCCCCAGGTTGGCCATTGAGACGTGAATCTTGAAGACTGGACACCAGTGACAATACTGCCTCCCTGGTGTCTTGTACCAAGTAGAAATGCATTACATATAATAACGCTGTGTATATCAATGTTGCCATTCATGCCACTGTTGCTTTGGGTCAGGACTTTCTTTGCTCTCGATTCTCTGAACTACAGTCCTCTGGCAGAACGGTTGGTTTCTTTTCTGCACACATGCAGTGAAAGTACCAGGCCTGCACGCTCTAACCCGAACTCCTCTCTAGGTTCGAGAGGAGACTAGGAACGGTGAAATCAAAGAGGAGGGAAGCCAGCGGCGGTGGGCACGGCCTGGGGAAATTCCTCTTGCTGCTTCAAGACGATGATTCCTGCCGCCACAACCCTCAACAGTGCCGCCAGGGGAGATGCCGGCGAGAGGCTCTCACAGCAGTGCACAAGAAGAATTGTTGTTAAAAAATATCATGAAAAGTTATACGGAGCGCTGAGGGAGACTTCTGAGCCCTTGAGAGGGAGACCAGCTTCCCAGAGTCATAAAAGTGCCTTGGCAAGCAAGGACAGTAAATGCAATAAAGGGGGGCAGGTTGTCTGAGCTCATAAAGGAAGAGGGTGATTGTGTAGTTACAGTCCTTTGTAAAATCCTTCACCATGGTGGAGGGAGAGAAATTGGGTCAGCGGACGATGTTTCCATCGCTCTTCCTAACGTAGACGAGATTGGTTGCCTGCAAAAGGAGAAGACCCTCTCGTTATTCCAGCAAATAAAGGAAAGCCTTGGGGGAGTAACTGGTCACTTTAGATTTGGTACAGGCCATCTTGCCAGACAGAAAACTTGCTGGATGAGGGTCAGGAGATCTGGGCTCAAGGTCTCCATTTTCTGCATTGCTACAGCTGGGACTTGAGCTTCTCAATGAGTTAGTTAGTCAGGGTGATTAGCATTACTGATTGCAACAAGCAGACCCATACTTTCAATTTACCGTTTAATTTCAGTGTTACCAAAAGAGGTCTCTGTTTCTCATTGCCACTCAAGGATCCAATTCGATGAGCACTGTCTCCTGGGTTGGCAAAGGGCACTAGGTCCACACTGGGTCGCTTATGGGTCCAGACTCATTAATACTAAACTTATGGATTATTTTCCCTTTTTATGTACAGTATTCCAAAGTTAAACAAAATTCCAACATTAAAATAATCTCCCATTAATCCATAATGATGACCTCAGACTCTTTGATGTTGGATTCCCCTCTGTATCCTATGTATTACCATTGGTTAATAAAGAAGATGCTTTGAAAAAAAAATAATCTCCCATTCACAAGGGGAGAGAATTGGGGATCCATAGCTGGGAAGAGATTCTGCAGCAGTACCCCATGGGGCATCCTATCTTGATCAAGGAAATTAACCAAACTTTGTTCTACTCTTTGAACGAAAGTCCTGGCCCAATTTTCCTCTATAGTCCCATTTTTCAACTCCTGTGATTTAATTTTCTCATCTTCTTCCATGAATACATCTGAGGTAGGCATTGGAGAGAAGCCATCCTTGTGGGCCAAGGAGTTTGTGTGGCCTACTATTTGCTATTCAAAGGTTGAAGGACCAATGGTTGCTCTGAGCCTCAAATTATCAAGGATCTATTTAATCTAAATTTGTAATACACTTCTTGCAAAACCTCAGTGGACTATTGAACTTTATGGAATTTATTTTTATATGTGTGTATCTGTGTGAGTATAGGCCACATGTATGTGGTACCCTCAGAGGCCAGAGGAGGCATAAAATTCCCTGGTGTTGGAGTTATGAATGTTTACTGCCAACATGGGTGTTGGGACTCAAACGTGCGTCCTCTGGAAGAGCAGAAAGTGCTCTTAGCCACAGAGTCATCTCTCCAGCACCAGCTGCTCAAATTTTCAAATCCATTATTCCTCTGCTTTCTTACCACTTGCTGTTCTCCTCCAATTTCATGGTACATTGATTGACACTTTCAGAGCTAAGCGGCAGACCACATTTCAAACTTGATCCTTGTTGCAGTGTTGGATCAGACCGCTTGCCCTTTTAGAGAAAAGATTTTTTATCAATATTATTATCTGCCATTGGGAATCTAAAGTCAGCTCTTCTGATCGCCCCAGGTCCCACGTTTCTGAACTCTCTATTCCCTTCGTGTTTGCTTATAAACCAATTAATGGTCCCCTGAGTACATCTTGTTTTGGCAATGCCTTGTCAAAAAGCCAGTATTAGCCGAGCACTCCCAACATTCAATTTTCTCCTGGACATGAAGCCATTGCTATCTCAAACCTATAGCATATCAGATTCTTGGATCTGTTCTTTTTTTTTTTTTTTTGAGTATGTGGTTTATTTAGTGGGTTATAAAAGGGAAGGAAAAGGGGGAGAAGGATAGAAAAAGAGAGAAAGAGAAGGGGGAAGAGAGGGGGAGGGAGATGCAGCAGCCACCTCTTCCAAAAAGGGACTAAGGGATGAGCTCTTGGATCCATTCTTATACTGAAAACTGGGTGTGTTTCAGGAAAATAAAATCCCCTCGGGGACTTTAAGTAGAAAACAATTTAATATAAGCAAGTACAATCTTGCTCCGTCACTGGAAGAGCTGAAGAGACAATACCTGGAATCCTATTGTACCTACCTTGCACATTCAGAGAGGGAGACAGACATGTTGGCCTTGGTGTGTTCCACGTGGGAGACGCTTCTGAGCATGCTCAGATGCAGCTGGTAGCCTTGTGTGACCCTGTAGAAAGAATTATGTTTATGTTAGCACTTCCTTTAAGTGTAGGCTTCTATCATATCCCACAGTGCCTGCACACAGTGATTTTGGGACAGTGGGTCACAATAAGCCACATTATTAGATCCGAGGTAGCCAAGCACTGTGTTCTTGCTGAAGGGCAGTGTCTGGATTCAGACCAAGTAAATAGAATACTGTCTTCTCCTTCCCTTCAACATGACAGATGAGCGTGTTCACGGTCTAACTTCTTACCCCCTCAGCCTTTCCTCTTGTCGGTATCAGACAAAATCAATCTGTATTCTGTGAACATGGTAATTCTGTTTTCTCATGCTTAACCTTCTCTTTGCCAGGTTACGTCCTTGACCCATGATGCCCCTACATGGCAGCTCCTCTCACATGAGGAAAAACTTAAACAACCAAAAAAAAAAAAAAGTGATGATATAACTTGTCAGAAATTTTGGAAGCCGTGAAAGTACCGCTAAGGGGGGAAATTATAACATTTTACTATATATGCATTATTCAAGAAGAAAAATTTAGAATTAACAATGTAGGCTTATGTCAGAAGAAAGTAAAGAGAGTACCTTCAGCTTGAATCAGCAGAAAAGAATGAAAAATATATAAAAAACCAGTAGCTCGAAAGAAAGAAAATAATAGAAAATAAAGCCAATTTTAAAGAGCTCAATACACTGCTAAAACGTTTTTTTTTTTGTTTGAGTAACAAAAGATAAAGTATCAATATATCGGTATGAGAAGTGAGAGTTTATTGCTACTGATGCAGTAGAAGTTAAAGGAAATTGAGAAAAATTAAGAATAATTTCCTTTGATAATTTAGATGGCATAGAACAATTTCTTGAAAAAGACAAAAACTTATAAAATTTACAAAGAGAGAAATGGATAATCTGAATGGGTTTATGGTAATCACTAAATAATTTGAATCAATGACTAATACTCTCTAAAACAGCATTGGATTGAAATGACTTCATTGCTAAATTCTACACAGTTCAGGAGTGAATGATACCAATTCTCTTTCACAAAATCAAAGTAGAATGATCACTTTCTTAATTCTTCTGTGAGATCAGCATTAGCCCAACATCAAAACCAAACGAAGAAATTACCACAAAGTACAAACCAGTATTTTTCATACACAGAGATACAAAAATCTTCAATAAAAAATAAGACTAACAGTGTATAAACAGGATTCTATAATGTGATTAAATTAATTTATTGCCAGTATATAGGGGGATTTGCATATTTGAAAAAAATAAAAAAAATCACTAAAAAAGAAGGCAAAAGAAAGAAAAGCATTTGACGAGGACAATTGATGCATGACAAGCTTTTCCAAATATGAATTCATGACAAAACTCTCAACACGAGGATTAAAACAAGCATCCTCCATGTGATTAGGGGATGCTACAAAAAAACCTGCAGCTAGCATCACACTTACTAAGTGAGACGTGGAGCTCACCTCCTCAGATTAGGAACAAGGCAAGGTTCTCTCTCTCACTACCATTCTACTTCAAAACAGGAGTCTGAAGTGGTAGATAAGAGAAAGAATGAGAAAAATGGTCCTGTGATGACGATGACGATGGTGGTGATGACAAGTATGGAAGAAAAGAAAAATAACAAGGTATACAGACCAAGAAGGAAGAGATAAATTTCATTCATTTGTAGATGATGTATTTATCTATGAAGAAAACTCTAAAGGATGCCCCCCCCCATCCAAGAAGTCCCAGGCAACAATCAAGGATTATAGAAAGGCTGCAGCACAAGAGTTTACTATACAAATTACTTATGCTTTGTATACATATTTCAACACCCATAAACTATGCTTTTATAAAGTAGATTTTATAATTATCTGATGTGGCATTCCTCTCTGTATGATATGAATATTTTATTACCATTGGTTAATATAGAAGGTGATTTGGCCTAGAGCAAGGCAGTATAGAGTAAGGAACAAAATCTAAACTGAATCCTGGGAGAAAGAAGTGGAGTCAGAGAGATGCCATGTAGTTGCCAAATGAGAAGGATCCTGGAACCTTACAAGTAAGCCACAGCCTTCTGCTGATACACAGACTAATAGAAATGGGTTAATTTAAGATGTAAGAGCTAGTTAGGAATATGTCTGAGTCATTGGTCAAGCAGTATTGTAATTAATATAGTTTCTGTGTGATTAATTGGTTCTGAGTGGTTGGGAAATGAATGAGCATCTCCGACTACAATGATCTGAATAAATTAAGAGATAGTCTGTTTTCCTGAGAAAAAAGGCAATTGCTGTAATGAATATGATCATGTGGCTTGTAGGCATTCACAGCTAGTTTGCCAGAATATTGGAGGGTTTGAAACATGGGCCAGAGAAGCTCTGAGATACAAAAGGAGATCTTAAAGGGACCTTTTGGTAGGAGGGACAAGCCAGAACATTGACAGAAACATGGACAGCAAAGGCCAAGCCAAGGAAAACTTCAGGCAGTGAGTGAAGTCAGCCTTAATGACAAAAAAATGTGCTCTAACTGACAGACATGTAGCATCGGAGTTATGCAAACTAACCAGAACCCAGGTGTTATTCACATGAGACCAGGATGAGGGACACGGGGCTACAGGTTTTGGTGCTTGCCCCTAATGGGTTTGGGTCTTGCTGTGATCAGTATTTCCTTGCCATTTCCCTCCAGTCTTTTTAGAAGAGAATGTTTACATTGTACCATTGTGTATTAGATTTAGGTAGCTTTGTTTTTGATTTTACAGGGACTTGTAGCTAAAAGGTTGCCTTGAGTCTTAGAAGAGACTTTGGACCTTTGAACAATGTAGAGACTGTTATGATTACACAGATTCCTGAAGTTGGATTGAATGTATCTCCCCTAATGAATGACCACGAACCTGTAGGATCTGGGGTATGATGCTGAGGCTTGGATGTGAAATATCTCTCATAGGCTCATATGTTTTATCACCCAGTCCCTAGGAAATAGGAAAGTTTAGGACCTTTCAAAGATGAGGACTGGTTTGCAAAACTAGGGCCTGTGAGTGGACTTTGGTCCAATTCTCCTCCTTGTAGTCTGCTGAATCATGTGACTAGCAGCTGTCTCATGATTCCCCTGCCAAAAGGCAAGTCTTTTGTGGTGCTTTCACCATCATAATGTTATATCCCCCAAACTATGAGCCATAATACACTTCTCCCTTAAGTAGTTGGAAGCTTGTATTTTGCCATAACAATTAAAAAAGTAACTAACACACACCTTAAGAATAAAGTAAATACTTAGTAGTTATTAATGATATAAATAATTATATAAATTAGTGAAGAAGAACAGGCAAATCTTCAGTAGAAAAGGGTAAACATCACAGATCAGCCCCAAGAAAACAGAGTATTCCAGTTCCCATGTGTGGGTTATGTCCAACTTCCTTAGGAACTATTTGATACAAAAAGCAGCAGGGTGAACACTTTAGAGCATGGTGACTGGACAAACACTAGCTCAGCAGAGTGACCATGGTCAATGCCAACAGTGGCAAGCCATACTGGCAACTCAGTCCCTGAAATGCGAAGGAGACGACGCTGTGTCCCTGTAGGCTTCCTCCCCAATGCCACCACCTCGTGGAACCACGAAAAAGGTAACAGATACATCAGAAAGGATGAGAATTCTACAAATGCACGACGGAAACTGTCATGGCCGTCTCAAACACAGAAAATGGACGGAACTATACCCTCCAGAGGAGTCTGAGAGGAGCTGGGGAATGAAGTTCGGTTGAGATCCTGGAAGGCATCTGAGATTTGGATCATTAGGTTAAAAACTGAGCAGATTTGAGGCATGTAGGAACTTTAGCTAATAATAATATTTCCTTGCAAAGCAGTTCCTTGGAGGGATTGCATGGAAGGCTACAACACTGAAAAAAATGAGATGGCAAGTGATTTATTTTTGAGCTAGGGTCCCTTGGGAAGAGTTAATAGATTCCCGGTGACCTTGAAGCACAACTTCAGGTACCTGGATCAGGTGACTGCTTTAACTCCCTTAGAACCCTGAACATTTTAGAAATAATTTGCCAGTTTACCTACTACATTTTTTTCCTCCTTCCTGGGGAAGTCAGAACACAAAGGCCGGATCAGAATAGTTATTGAAAATGGTGCCACTGGCACTGAGTCCTGTGGTGTGCAACCTGGAATACATAGAATCCTGGGTAGGATACACACTGAAGTTCTCACCTTTCCCATCTTATGAGGAACAGCCTTTATCTCACTTTTATTCATCTTAATTTTGTGCAAAGATGTACTGTATTTTATTTATGACTTTACATGGGGATTTTTTTTCAGCATTGGTTTTCAATTTTTTCACCTAAAAAAAAAAAGCAAGATAATACTGGTGACCTTACACCTTTAGTTTCCTTTTTTCACATTTTAGTGAGCCATCAAATTTCAGAGTTTAGGACACTCCCAAGCATACTAGCCCCAGTACGTGCTTCATGACACACTCCTCCATCTTAATAAACTTAGTGGTGTTTATTCAGATTGAAGCAGTTATGGCTCAAGCTCTCTCCTTTGGGACGAGGACATTTTATTCTATGCAAGTTGACCCTAGACTAAACTGTTTTCTGTGTGTAATATGTATAGTAAATTATATTTGACCTGAGGTCAAAAAAAGTTTTGATTATGATTCTAGATTTGAAACAACCTAGGGTTGCAATTGAAAACCCTCCCCAAGTGGTCAGAAGGAACGCTGATGGTAATGTGTCCTCATTGCTGTCGGAGTCTTTCTTGTCTATTTCAGGGCCAACCGAAACTGGCAGGCTCTCCAGAGTAACTCTCTACTGACAGCACCCCCACTAAGGTCCCCTGAAGCCCTATCTGAATCTGATACCCACTTCGTGCCCTTGTCTCCTCTTCTGCAAAGTCAAATGTTAATATGCTGAACTCCTTTGTGTTCGTTGTTAATAGGAGTCCTTGTCTTTCAGCAGTGGCCTTGCTTGCTGTCATCCAGAAGGGACAGGAAGGGACATTTTGCATTACTCCAAGTGACAGGCTGGGC